TCCATCTGTTCCACCTTTCTGTTTCCTTCATAAATCAAGGCAGCTAACTTGTTCATGAGGCAATGATACAATTTCTTACAGACTTTAGGAGCAAACTAATTTATGTAGGTATTTTCATAGTAATCAGCATACTTTAAAAACAGGGACTGTTTAACTGTGGTGCCAGCCCCAAATGAACCTCCTTCCACACTAAATTGCTGCTTTTTGTCTTTTGGTTGTTTGTGGAAGTATAACTTGGCACTCACATTTATTCCTGCTGTGTGATTCATTGCAAAGGAATCCTCCACTTTAGTTGAAACATATGACAGGGTAAATTGCTATGGACATGGCTGAGTGTTTATATACGGTACCTGCAAATGAACCCTTAGAGAAAAACCAAATATCAACTATTCAAAACTATTCAAAAAATCTGAGATTTCAAAATACTACAAATACTCAGTGCCACTTGCATTCTTTTCCTATTAATACCGTAATAAATAGAAGGAATCAGATAGCAACTTCTGTATTAAAAGCATGGCTTTTGTGAGCAGCCACTTATTTCATCAGATGCATAGAATACCATGGCTGCCATAGATCAACATGGCTGTTTTCTTGAAATTGAAATACTGTAATACAGTAATGGTATTCTATATGTTAATAACAGCAGAAGCATCAAAATAGGATTCACTAAATCCAGCAAGCTGATGCCTAAAGAACTCCCACTAGCAAATGACATAGTTGACTTTATCCCAACTGCTTTCCAGATGGACAACAAATCCCAGAACTCTCAGCCAGAATGGCTATTGGCATGTGGTATAAGCTATAATGGAAGAATGGGTAACTCACAGACCATGTGTTCCTCCAACCCAACCTCTTTTTAAAAAAATATCAGATAGGTTTCAAGTAGTTTTAAAATATGAAATGTTTCAAAAACAGCCATAATTAAATTTTAAAACCAACTCTAATAAATAAACCAAAATGCAATTTAAGATATTAATAAACAAACTGAAATTCAAAGATGCATAAAAAATAATTAGATTTTACAGTTTTAAGCTGTTGCCACTGCTTACATTGGGCAAACTTCCAAGGGTGGAGGGGAAGAACACCAGGAAACTGACTGGGAGGCCACAGTTTTTCCAGTTGGGAATGTAAAGAAGACCTACTCAGTATACAGGGACTATACTGGTCTACTCCAGTCTTGAACTGCTTGAATATAAATAAATAAATAAATATCAGTGTTAGAGCTTTTAAGAGATCTTATCATTCATGTTCAATAATTTCGTTTAAAAATGCCTGGCAAAGTTTTATAGAATTGTGCGATGTGATGCAGTTTGATGTAGGTTTTAGAAAAGGCTTGTCCACCTAGGCCAGGAGGAGATGGTTGATTAAACAATATTTTTTTAAAAACAACTTTTAGTTTAAGGTACCAATTCCAAGTGGATAAGTACCTATATTTTTCATCACACTAAATAGGCCATTTTGCAGGCTTTGATAAATTTCCCTCCTTCAGTAACAACTGGCTAAAGGAAAGGAAAATGTTTCCATGCAAACAGCAAAGATTTTCTCCTCTTGCCTTTTCTACTTTCTTTAGGCACAAATAATAATGAACACAGAATGGATGTTTAAAAAACTATTTGCATCCTTTTGCAAATGAAGACAATGATCTTATAACAGAGTACTAAAACTCTAATGCACTTATAATCAGGTTGGAAGGATGGATTCAGGACATAGTGTCATAGTCTAGCTTTGGGCGTGTCATTATTTCTCAAACTAATGCAATAGTATGTTTTGCTGTACACACTTGAGGAGAACACAGAAGAACCAAAAATTAGGGTTGGAGAAAGCAGCGGAAAAGGGTGCTTCAAAAAACAAGGCATCCTGCCTCAAACTCTTGAAGCAGCCATGTCCTTTGGAGGGTTCAACATGGCTACTTCAAGGTTGCTTGTTTGTCTGCACATATGCTTATACAGGCATTTCACTGTCAGAGGCGTTGCCTGCGCATATGCATTTATAGACATCTCAGGACCATCTCTGAAATCACTGCCCCAAGACTTCCAAAAAGATATGACTGCTTTAATGTTCCAAGAAAGGGTCTTTTACTCATATTATTATTATTTTTACAAAGTATCCATTTGATGTGTTTGCACAACTCATATCAAAAATGGTTTCTTTCTGCCAGTAAACAAGGCATCAGTTATTTTAAGTGGCTTTCGTATTCTGTTTTAACCATTGGTTTTATTGCACACTGCTCGAGTCTCTTTGGGTGAGATGGATGGCCACATAAATTGGATTAAATGAATAAATAATATTTTTGGATATTATTATAATAATGCCCTCTGGAACGATTTGCCCCCGGAGATACGAAGGATACCAGATCTCCGGGCCTTTCGCCGTGCCCAAAAAACTTTTCTTTTCCATCAAGCAGGGCTGGCGTGAAACCCCCCCTCCCCTTTTTAGCTCTTTTTAGTTCTTTAAGTGTAAATTGGGTTTTAATTGGATTGTTTTAAATTGTGGGCCAAAGCTGTATAATTCTTCTAATTGATTTTAAATTTTGTATTTGTATGTTTTTTATCCTTGGCTGTGCACCGCCCTGAGTCCAATAGGAGAAGGGTGGTATATAAATTGAATAAATAAATAAATAACAACAACAACAACAACAACAACAACATCAGGGCTGGTTTAAGACATTTTGTATTCTAAAAGAAACTCCACCATTGCTGACCGCCAGTAAAAAGACAACTAGTCTGGCAGTCAGCATTGGTGTGGAACAATGTCTTCTACAGCAGAAGACAAATGGACATATGAGCCACAGCATTCTTCTCTACCCTTTTGTCAATTTGTACCTAAGGTGAAATCCAAATTTAAACAAAACTGCTCACTCTAATCTGCAAACCCATCACAGGGTATCCTTTTACTTATTTATTTGTCAGACTTTAAGGCTGTCCAACTCTTAAGGCAACTTTGGGTAGCTTCCAATTAAAAAAACCAACAAATAAAGAACACAACCGACTGCAGGAATAAAATATCCACCATAAACTACCAGAGCATAACAGGACAAAACATAATCACCTTGTCCCCAAAGCCTGAGAGAACAATTAGATTTTTAAAGATTTTCTAAACGATATAAGGTTACATGAAATTTGTACAATGAAAAGGTGCTCGTTACTAGGAATCATATTAGGTGAGATCTTAAATTTGAGGGGTACAACATAGAATAGAAGGGAGAAATTGAATTTGGTTAAGATTAGAGGTGAGGATGAAGGGTAATATTGATTTTTTTTAAAAAAATAGAAGAGAGTAAATATCATGGCAAAAAGGAAGTATAGAAATTGTAAATTTAGTTGAAATGATTAAAAACTGTTTAAATTTGTGAACTGGCCAAATACTCTGTTCAGAAAAAATATATTATATGTTTGTATGTGTGTTTGTGTAAAAAATAAAAAAAACTTTTTTTAAAAAAAAAAGAAAAGGTGCTCACATATTTATTAATATTAGTTAATCCAAATGTAAACTAATTTTCATTGAATTTATATTGCCGCCTATTCGCCCATGGCGACTCAAGGCAGCTTACAGAATATAAAACCACATTTAAAACAATAAAAACTAACAAAAAGAATCAAATAAATTAATATAGTAAAATATTACAAAATCACCCGCCATCTCCCACCCTCTGCCCTGGTGACAGCAGATCACACAAGCCATTTAATGGGCTCCATCCCACTCTGGGTTTCCCAGGCCCACTGGCAGAACCAGGTCTTCAGTGCCTTTTGGAAGAGTATTAGAGTGGGGCCATTCTAATCTCTGGCGGAATGATGTTCCAGAGAGAGGGAGCCACCATGGAGAAGGCCCTTCTTCTGGGTCCCACCAGGTATATCTCCCTCGGGGATGGGACCCGCAACATTCCCTGCCTCCCCACTCTGATAGGTCGGGTAGATGTGACTGGCAAGAGATGGTCTCTCAGATAACCTGGTTCCAATCCAATCTTTTGCATCCAGGAAAGAATAGCTTCTCTTATAAAATTAAAATATATATATACTGGAAATTGAAATATGCATATTTGATCATGTATACAGTACGTTAGCTTTTTAATTACTGAATGTGTAATTGATGGCATAACATGAAGATAATTTCTAATACATTGTATGTGTTTGTGTGTGCATCAGAGAGACTACAGACAAATAAATAAAGTAGACAAATAAATACAGATAAATAAAAAAAAATACAGAACAGACATTAAAATAAGAATACAATAACAAATAAAATGAATCACAGTTGGTCCAACACATAGTCAATTGATTACATATTTCTCGGTGGCTTGTATAGCAGTTATTATAAACAATACAAGTCTTAGGTTTGAAACCTAAAACAAATCCTCATTTTCACCTTTGCTTTCATGCTGTTGGACATTATGTTAGCAACTTCAAATTTTTGTAAGGAGAAGTATAATATATTTACATCTATTTAGAAAGAAAATATTTCCATCTTACTTCACGAAGCACATTGTGTGAAAGGAGATGAAATGAAAACAACATATACAAATATGGCTCAATGCAAGATAGCGGAAAGCACAATCAGTCACGCCTGCTTCTCTGCAAAGCAGCGTGAGGTCACTTTTTACCCGTCTCCTTAGATATCTTTAGTAAAGATGATTAGGTTGGATAGTTAATTATCTGCTCCATGGACAGGACTAAAATATTACTCTGCATTATTACTCTGTACTAATTAAATTGAATTTGCCCATGGGGAATGTTTGGCGTTTCAAAAATATGACTTGTATTATTCAGAATCAGTTCTGAAGCGCTTTTAAGAGGACTACTATATATCTACCATTCCTTAGCAGTACTAAAGAATATTTCTGTTTTACATTTTATACCTATGTCCACCTGTCTGCATCATATAAAAATATAACTTATTTTATAATAGGGAAAGTAAACAGCAGTCCAAAATTTCACCATCTCTGATATCTTTTTACATGTTTCGAAAATAAAAGAATGAACCAACAGAAGATAGGAAATATCTACCTGTAATAGATAGGAAAACACTTTGGATCGTCTCTTCATCACATTTCTCCTTTGTTAAAATCAGGTCCTGCTTCTTCATTTAAATAAACGCCAAATTCACAGCTGTGAATTATAAACCTTCTTAAAAAATACAATTCTGAATACATATACATCATATCAATTCTTATTATATTGTAACAGATTCAAAGTTAGTGATTTTCTGCCTTTTAAATCTTTTTTTTTCTCTCCCACTTTTCTTGTCTTAGTACATTTGTTGCTGGGACCAAAGCTGGTGTGCTTTTACATGTGAACAGAGAAAGTAATTTTAAGTTTCAGAAATGATTATATACATTTCATGCCAACTTTAACTATACATGAGAATGCGAGAAATAAAGTTTGGGGAGCAAAATCTAATCTACTTATCTTCCCTGTCCTGTTCTTATTTTTGGGTTTGGCTATAAAACCTTATTTCGGAAGCAAAAACTATAATTCTTGATTGTTTACACTTCCCTATAAGGGGGTTGGAGGTTTTCACTTATGAAAAGTTAGAGTACATACAGCCCATGGTCTCTACCTTTCTCTCTTTGCTGAGCATTTCCTAAAAATGGTGCACAGGCTGCCCATAACCTGGGATTGCATTCTTACTATCACTGATGGGACATTGTAGACAGTGGTTATTCAATATTTTCCTGATCAAACGTGTTAGCTTTAGTTGCGTTAATGTATGATAACATAAGGGCTCATATGAGATTGAAAGTACGCCTGTATCAACTGTGCTGCCAACCTCCGGCTACACATGCTTGTGCTTGTCTTTGTCTTCCCATGTTGGGAACAGATGTGATTGTGCATCTGTATGGCACTCATTGCTGAGCATGGCAGGAATGACATTTCAAACTTGCAAATTTGTTTCAAAGTTAATTCTCTCATATCATATTGTAAATGTGGAATATTTAACATGCTACTGAAAGTATAAGCTCTAGTCTTTGCGAGAGTTATGACTATTTTGGAGTTTTATTAGTTCATTTGCTAATTACAGTGTATCATTAAGGATCTAATGCACATGCTGCCTTGAAATTACTTAGATCCTAACAATATATTGGATTCCTTCATGCTAGTGGGACAATGTCTTGCAACATCCCACTTTCACAATCACTAGGGGCTGAAGACTGTCTTAAATAAAAATAACGAACCTGTCTGTTAGCTTTCATGTAAAAATCAACAAAAACCCTACAAAAAGAAAGTAAAAGATGGTAGACAGAGCATGGATAAGGGTCTTGGATAAAACATAATTTTTCAGATGCTGTTGAAATTCATAGACAGTGGCAAGAAAAAAAAAAGAATAAAGGCAAGGTGGCAAGATACAGATAAAGTAGAACCTCTGGTCATGACCATAATTCATTCCATAACTTTGGTTGCAACCCGATTTGGTTGTGACCCGAACCTAATTTCCGATTATTGTTGGAAAGATATTTCCTAGCAGCGGGAGCGAAAGTCTTGTGCAGCCAATGGCATGGAAGGAGAAATCGGCTGTGTTTGGTCACAACCCGAGTATGTGTTTGTGACCAGATTCAAAAATTTTGTGGATTTTTTGGTCGGAACCCGATTTGGTCGTGGTCAGAAGCATACGTGACCAGAGATTCTACTGTACCAAATAAAATAAACTATACAGCAAGAGAACTAAGGAAGAAGCCAAAGAATAAAAAGACTTAAAAGTAAATATAATTATGTCCTTGCCCATCAAGGAAACAAAACAGACTTGCAAAGCCTTCCAAAAGGCTACCTGGCACCATGTAATTGACATGTTTTCTTCACAATATCCTGGCTTTGCTTTCTGGCAAACCACCTTAATGGGGAGGGAAAAAGAACTGCCTGCAGAGATTCCAACAGGCTATAAGAGCCAGCACTGGAATCATGCTGATGAACCAAACAAAGTAATAATCGTAAGATTAAACATAATGTAGTCATACTTACACGAAGAGGAATTTGAAAACATGAGATGTACAATGGAAACCCATCGAGATGTAATGCAAAATGCAGATAAATACATTCATTACGAACTCTAAAAGGATATTTCCACTCCTTTTGGGGTTTCAAATTTATTTAGCATTATAATCACATAGGACGGTCTACTTCTGCAAAATGCTCTTTGCCAGGATCAAACATTATTCTGGCTGAATCACTTTTACTATAAACTGTGGGCTTGAGGTCTCTAACCTTACAAATAAACCTCTACAACCCAGTAATTGTTGCTTCTTAGCAATTTATTCATGTAATGGGCACATTAGCCTTCATCTTTTTTTATTGATTCTCGGTCATTTTCTTGCTAGCAGATTGTTCCAGGGGAAAGTAGAGATTATTAGTCTAAAATTGGGCTGTAGTGCAGTGATGTGATGAACTAACTTCTGCTCTTCCAATGGCTCCTCACTTAATGTCAGCTAAGTTAATCTGCAGCTCTTTCAGATGCTATCAGCTTCATGTACAGCGTATTTAATTAGCCTCTTGCTTTAAAAGCCAGCCCTGGGTGTCACTTAAAAGATGCATTTATTACATACTGGAGTGACAGAATGAATTACGAGCTCTCATTATGAAGCCAGTCTGGAGAAATTGGATTACTGAACTCTTAGTGATCAAATACCCTTTCACCCTTTTTTTTTTTTTGGCTCCAGCTTTCAAGGAAAAGCCCAAAGCGCCATCTTCTGCTCACTAACTGGAACCAAAAATAATGTGAGCACTCAGCTCCGTCCAAAGGGATTTGCTAAGAGGGAGATCTTTGGCATTTAGAACTAGCCTTCTGTTCATCAGTTAAATCACTTACCTATTCTGCTTCTGTGGGCATGCCAGGTGCCAGACAGAAACGCTGAAACTTCCTAACAGCTGTCTAATGCACAATCAGGAGAGATTGATAAAACTGGCAGACTGACTCTGGGAAACACAGGATGCATCAGGAGTTAGAAGGCCTAAAGAGAAACACGAAATTAAAACTGACCTTCGTATGAATATACTATTCTCAAAGGATAAAGCAGCTGAAGGGTACTGCAATGTATTTGCATCCAGCAGAGCTATAGAAACTTTTTTATTCTTGCATATTACAAGTTTCAAATTGAGTATAGGGGAGGGAACTGTCAGAAATCCTTTGTACCCTTATAAAGGCCAGCTGACACAAATGACTATACATACTTTCACGCTCATCTTGGTGAACCTGGAACATGCTGCCATCGTGTGTGTGTGTGTGTGTGTGTGTGTGTGTGTGTGTGTGTGTGTTAACATATAGGCATTATGATTTTCAGAAAATAGGTTCTCTTTCAAATACAAAGATTATTATTAGAAAAATAGGTTTGGATGGATAAAAAAGTTTGGATGCTTGGAAAGTTTGGAAGCATCCAAAAGTTTGGATGAATAATAATGGATAATGGAGCTGCTGATCCAGTTCTACAGAGGAATTATTGAGTCTGTCATCTGCACCTCTATAACTGTCTGGTTTGGTTCTGCAACTCAACAAGACAGACAGACTTAAGAGGATAATTAGAACTGCAGAAAAAACAATGGCTACCAACCTGCCTTCCATTGAGGACCTGTATACTGCATGAGTCAAAAAAGGGGCTGTGAAAATATTTACAGACCCCTCACATCCTGGACATAAACTGTTTCAACTCCTACCCTCAAAATGATGCTATAGAGCACTGCACACCAGAACAACTAGACAAGAACAGTTTTTTCCCGAACACCATCGCTCTGCTAAACAAATAATTCGCGCAACACTGACAAACTATTTACTAAGTCTGCACTACTATTAATCTTCTCATCTTCACATCGTTCCCATCACCCATCTCCTTCCACTTATGACTGTAACTTTGTTGCTTGTATCCTTACGATTTATATTGATATTGTTTCCTGATTGCTTATTTGTACCCTATGATTATCATTAAGTGTTGTACCTTATGATTCTTGATGAACGTATCTTTTCTTTTATGTACACTGAGAGCATATGCATCAAGACAAATTCCTTGTGTGTCCAATCACACTTGGCCAATAAAAAATTCTATTCTGTTCTGTTCTGTTCTGTTCTGTTCTGTTCTATTCTATTCTATTCTATTCTATTCTATTCTATTCTATTCTATTCTATTCTATTCTATTCTATTCTATTCTATTCTATTCTATTCTATTCATCTGAACCAAAGCTACCTCACACAAAGCTGTTATGAAATTAAAATGGGATAATCCATGAACTTTTTATTCCATTTGTATCCCAGCTTTCCTCCACGGATATCAAACAAATACATATGTAATCATTTCACTGTATTCATTTGCTTAAGATCTTCTGTTTAACTCAAAATTATGTATAACAATATATCACCTGAAGTTCTTGAAGGAAAACCAAATACATACAATGCAAATATGATTATTGACATTGCTTTGTAATAGACAGAAAGTCCGAGCACAGAAAAGTCTTCTGTTTTATTTCCCCTGCAGATGAATATAGCAAGGGGAGTGGGAGTTGGGGGCTGAAGTATTAACTCTGTGCATGTGTATATTCCTGAGAACAGGAATCTAATCTAATCTTTGATGGGCTGACATCAGCCAAGATCTGTTTCTACAGTTGGTACTTCTTGTCTTTGAGAAAATAACACAATATTGTAGAGATAAACGTACTAAGCCAAACTACCTCCTACGGTAGTTTTCTAGTTGAATTAAAAATTTCAAAATATATAACTGTGAAAATAGAACATCTTTCTTCAGGGTTCCTTCATGTTTCAGTCAGAAGTCAGATTTGGAAGAGCCATTTACAGAAATTCAACCGAAGCATTTTTGACATACAGCAATGGCTGTCCAGTCTCTGCTTGAACTAGCAAAGGAGAATACACAAGTTCCTTAAGCAATTGTTTCCATTTTTCCTAATATTCAGAATCAACATTGCTATTGTGTAAGATAATTATTCCATGCCTTGCACTCTGGGATAATAGAGAACAAGTCTTGATGCAGGATCCAATCTGGGTCGGTCACCAGGACCACTGGTTTTGCCTTCTGAGCTTTCAGACTTGTACTGGAGCCCATCTTCAGGGAACTTCTCTCTAGCAGAGTGTCTACACACTGTGCTAGAGAGAAATTTCCTGAAGATGGGCTCCAGTACGAGTCTGAAAGCTCAGAAGACGAAATTTGTTAGTCCTGGTGACTAACCCAGATTGGATCCTGTAACATTATCCTGGGACACGCCTTTATTTGTGAAACAAGTCTTGATTTCTGTATTGACCATCATACCAGCAGGATGATGGACAAAAATATCTCCAGGAGTAGCTGTTTCACAATATAGGTGCCATCCCTGAAAAGGTCTGCCTCTGAGACCCCCATTCCCTTACCTTTTTGTGAATTGTGAACAATTAAGTGTCCTTCTTTGGGAACTGCATAGAAAACATTCTAGTATGTGAAAACAAATTTGTAAGCCCAAGAGAACCAAAAACTTAGGACTTTACAAGATGATACCTGGACTTTGAACAAACCCAGAAAACTATTGAATTGGGTAGGCCAAAAATTTTGGAACTTTTTTTTTGCTTGAGGGTGGGAGAGATAAAGGGAGCAAAACAATTGTTCTAAGAGTCATAAGATGTGATATATTTATTTTGCCCCTTTGCTTTGCATCCAAAAACAACAAAAGCTTCTTTTGTTGCTTCTTGCTGCTGAAAATCAGAAATGTTTGCTGCTTTATCTCCAAGCATTTGATGTAGGATTACTCTGAGGTTTCAAGAGACCCGGGGGGGGGGGGACGGCACAGTGGGGACTCTAGTTGTTTTTATGGGCTGCAGGTCATATCATCAAGTACACAGAATACACAAGTACCAAAGGACATGGCTCAGTTCTCAGATTAATATCAGTTCAGGAGATGGTCTTCTCCAAGCTCCTAATGCCCACCAGTTTGATAGTTCATAGAAAAACAGTAAAAAAAAAAAAAAGAAAAGAAAAAGAGGAAGGTCTTGCCCTGATATATGTTGATACTGGCAATTAGTTCAGTTGCTGGCATTGTTACCCTGCCCCTCTTTCCTCTCAATACACTTTGAGAGAGAAATGTATGCTTGGAAAAGAAATTCCCCTTGGGTTCAGGCAGAGACCAAAAGCTTGACACTGGGAAAGGATGGGATGATAAACAAATCAGAGGTAAATGAAATGTAGACAATACCACCAATAAAAATTACATTAACTGCACTCATTGAAAAGAAAAAAGAAAACTGAGACTAATGGCAATGAAATAGAGGCATCCCATCAGTGGCAAACATAAATATAAGCAGGAAGCCGGGACTGGCATTAAATGAGGAGGTAGATGATGGTTCAAAAAGATTCTCCTCCAGTGTCTTAATGGCCAAGCAGAAAGGAGGTGCTTATCTGTGGCAAGTAGAGAAATCCTCCATAAGTTGCTGCTGAATTATGAGTCTATGGAAAAGGAGAACGTCTGAAATTATTGGAAGCCATAATATTAGCTGTATTTATTCAATTTATCAGTTCAATTATTTCCATTCAACTTAATCGAATGCTTGGAAAAGATAATTTAGGCAGAGATCAAATGCCTGGCTCTGGGAAAGGATGAGATGGTAAACAAATCAGTGATATTAAATTGAATTCAGATGGCCTATGATTAAATGAAATCATACGTACCTTTCCTTTTAATTCTCCCATTTCTTCATCTAGTCCTTCAAAATTTTAAATTCAAATATATATATATATATATATATAATTTATATATATATATATATATATATATATAATATATATATATTAGTTATTTATTTATAAGAATTTTCTGTAACTACGGAAGTAGAGTCACGGGGGCTTCCCGGGGCTCAGAAAGATGGGGATGATGATTTTTTTTTCTTTACAGATACAGTAATAACGTCGCCACGCACCTTTCCACCCGACGCGAAAAAACCCAGCCAATAACCCTGGTATCCGGCTAGCGTTTACAGGAAGGACATGCGCATTCCCCCAATAGATACGATCCCCCCACACCCTCCCCAAAAAAACAAAGCACCCCAGAAAGGGTGCCAGATCTCGCAGCCCTTCGCACGGGAAAAAGGCCGAAGGGGAGAGCGGTTCTTGGTCCCTTGTATGCCACCTCCTTTCCTCGAGCCTGTCATCTCTCAGCCAATGAAGACTCCGGATTTCGGTCCCCTCCGTCGCTATTCGTCAGCCAGCGCAAAAAAAAAAAAAAAAAAAGGAGAGGGACGAATCCTCCAATAGCCTCCCGAGTTATGCGCGGCGCGCGCGCTCCGAGGCCCCCGAGTTTGCCAGACCCGAGCTGGGGGAGGCTGGGAAGATGGCGGCGGGAGCGTCTGTTTCGGGGCCGACGGCGGCAGCAGGGGCCGACTTCGCTTGTGCGGATTTCTCCGACTTGCGGGAGATCAAGAAGCAGCTGCTGGATGTGGCGGAACGGAGCCGGGAACGCGGCCTTCAGCATAGTGGGAAATGGTACGGGGACGCCGAGGGGGAAGGACGCCCTTTTGTAGGCTGCTCTTCCGAGGTGGCGGCGGTGGCGGTGAGGAGGCGGGAGGGTTTGCGTTGGCGAGAAGGGAAGTGAGGAGGCTCGCTGCGCTTTTGCCTCTTGCGGGCGCTTGCTTGGAGAAGGTCGATCTGTGCGGTTGCTAAGAGCCGAAAACGACTTGATGACGCTCAGGCGATCCAAATCGATGCAGGCAGTTCCTTAAGCCTCAGAAGTAACGGAACTGCCCGATATGAACTCTTTAAGGGGCCTGGTGGCGTTTGGGTGTGGGAGGAAACAAATTTAGTTTGTTTCGCTATAAACAAAACAAGTTTATAGCGGATAGCAATAGCACTTAGTTCTGCAACCCAACAAGACAGACATCCACAGACTTCAGAGGATAATTAGAACTGCAGAAAAAACAGTTGCTACCAACCTGCTTTCCATTGAGGACCTGTATACTACACGAGTCAAAAAGAGGGCTGTGAAAATATTTACAGACCCCTCGCATCCTGGACATAAACTGTTTCAACTCCTACCCTCAAAATGACGCTATAGAGCACTGCACACCAGAACAACTAGACACAAAAACATTTTTTTCCCGAACGCCATCACTCTGCTAAACAAATAATTCCCTCAACACTGTCAAACTAGTTGCCAAGTCTGCATTACTATTAATCTTCTCATCGTTCCCATCACCCATCTCCTCCCACTTATGACTGTATGACTGTAACCTGGTTGCTGGTATCCTTACGATTTATATTGACTATTTCCCTATGACTACCATTAAGTGTTGTACCTTATGATTCTTGACGAATGTATCTTTTCTTTTATGTACACCGAGAGCGTATGCACCAAGACAAATTCCTTGTGTGTCCAATCACACTTGGCCAATAAAGAATTCTATTCTATTATGTTCTCTTCTTACACTTATATACCACTTGATAGTGCTTTACAGTCCTCTCTAAGCGGTTTACAGAGTCAGCCTATTGCCCCCCCCCACATATTGCATTTTAGCAAGCAGCCTATAGATGTGCAACTTTAAGGTAGCAGTTGCAGCTGGGAGGGCTTCCCCTAGTGTGAAGTTATTATACAGCTTAGGGAATCTTTGTATGAGTCCATGATTGCTATGTTCATATATGATATATGACGATTTGTTTAACTGGGAGTTATTGAATGATCTATAATTGATTGACTTTGGAAAACATGCTAAGATGTAAATTGAGTTGCAAACCAAGAACTGGTTCACAGAATATGCCTAGCTAGAACTGAGTAAATGGTATTGTGTAAACTTAGACAACGTGTTATAATTAACCAGGCAGTTTATAAGCAGTGTTTGCTTTAACACAGTGGATGTTATTGTTGCAGGGCCTCAGAACTGGCCTTTGCCTTGGACCCTCTACCCTTGAATGAACTACCGCCTGTTCCTGAACTTACAGAGGTAAGGATAATTGTCTGTATTGTCTGTGTAATACTAAACTGAAAATTATTACTTCAATGATATTGTAAAATCCAGGGACATTGTATATTAATAGTTGGTGATATATGCTAAGCCTGCAGCCCCAAATTTACTTGGGAATAAGATTCACTGAACATAATTTTTATTTATGATTGTATTGTGTATCTCTGACCTATTGTTTGTTAGAAAATCTTTAGCCTGAAAGGCTCCCAGTACTACTAATTGATCAATTTAAAAATATCGTTCTTGGCTTTAGGATTACAATTTTTTAAAAAGATATGAAAAAGGAAATTGATAACTTGTGAAAACAAAACTACTCAGGAATCATGATGTAAGATCTTAGCCTTCCTCTCTACAGCCTGATGGAGTGAATTTTGGACTGTATTGAGAGTGGTAAATTCTCATTAAATCTTCTCAAAAGAAGATATGATGATTCTTTTTCTGAAAAAACCAGAGGGCGAAATTTAAGATGTCCTGGTATTCCATTGTATGTTTCATTTTTCTCTCATAACCTACCAGTCCAGCTATTCTAGAATTGTTTGTTGTAGTTTTATAAAAATAGATTTTCTGAAAGTGATTTCTTATGTTCCAAACATAGTGTAGATCTGATTTGCTAGGTTTTGCACATTATTGAAGAGTACTTATATACTGCTCCATAGTGCTTTACTGCACTCTCTGAGAAGTTTACACAGTCAACATATTGCCCTAACAATCTGAGTCCTCATTTTACCGACTTCGGAAGGATGGAAGGCTAAGTCAACCTTGAGCTAGTCAGGCTCTTGGCTATGGGCAGCATTGGTCTGCAGTACTGCATTCTAACCACCGCACTACCGGGGGTCATTTATTATTAAATATATAATAATCATTTTCAGAGAAGCACAAATCTTAATTTGTTGTAGCCAATACAGTTTGAAAATTCACAATTTAATTAATGTATTAAATTCACAATTTAATGTTGCTGTTTATAATGGGAATTGGGAACAGGTGGGTCTTCCAAATGCTACTGAACTACAATTCCTAGCAAGCCTCAGTATGTCCAGGCTGTGTAGACTGGAATTGCTGTGAGTTATAA